AAAGAGAGAGAGAGAGAGAGAGAGAGAGAGAGAGAGAGAGAGAGAGAGAGAAGGGGTGGAGGGGGAGCTAGTGTAAGCTAGCGATGTGGTACCGTAGGGTAGCACTTTTTACGAGGTCGCCGCTCCGCTACGATCGCCGCGTGCACCTCTACGGTCAGCTCTGTCAAAATTATACCGACAAACCAAGTATTCAACTGGTCAACACTTGAAAGTTTGCAATTTGCCAAGTAGTTGAGCACTTGCAAGTTTTCAACTCCATGGTTGCGTCCACTCAGGTGTCAACTCGGTTGTGCACTTGTAAGTGTGCAACTCCTCCGTTGAAGACTTCCTAATATTGGACACACAGTGTATGGGAATGTGCTATCCACAGAAGAGTTTCACGCCTATACGGAGTTGAATAACATTTGTGAGTAATCAACTTGCAGTGTCGTAAACTTGAAAGTGATCACCGGTTGGAACACTCGGTTCATCCAGCTAGGCAGAAGAAAAACGGTTCCAGCCCCCCGTGGTGCGATTGATAATTTTCCCTTTGACACGGCCTTCTATCCTTCGCGCTTTCAAAGTTTTGCACGGCCTCGCCGCGCTTATTGGGGAAAGTAGGTCGCCGTTTTGTCGCGGACGCCCCGCGGAGGGGAGGGGGGAGGAGAGAAGGGAGGGGAGGGGAGGCGGCGTCGGCGAGCGAAATGACAAATGGTAGGACGGTTCATCCCGCTGGTCTCGCCCAGATTGAGGCATCCCCCCGCAGCAGCCAAGGAAAGTAATCCTCCCTAACTTGGTGGCAACTACTATTCTGTTGGTCATTAGTAGCAGAGCCAAACGGGGCGGGAGCGGTGGCAGTAGTAGCAGGAGGTGGATCTTGATTAACCGAGTTTCGCGGAGGGGCATCGATAGCCCTAGCGATAGCCACTCGTTTGGGGGGGATCGACTACTGAGCCAAGCGGAGCCAGGAGGAAACGACGCAGGCGCCGATGTGCAGACGGATTGTGTGGGCGTTAGGCGGAGGGTTGGGAAGCCCTGTAAAGTTTCCTGATAATTTTTCGAAAATTCTCGGAACTTTTCAATCATAGTTAGGGTCCGCGTTACGGCTCGAAAATACGTGTAACAAAGATTTACAGGATGAATTATTTTAGGATGTTCCGTTACAGGGGGAGCGAAAAAAACAGAACAAAGAAAAACAAACCTGCAATGACCCACCGGTCCATAGCTGTGTTGGCATGCATGACAGTAAGGCGAGAAGAAGATAAAGAAAGACAGGTAAGACATGGACAAAGAAAAACAAAGGGAGAGCAAACACAACAAAAAAGACAGTTGAAAACGAAAACACACAGACACGGGGAAGACGGAAAAGATGATGGGTTTTTAATATTCATGGCTCAACGGGATAAAAGTGACAAACTTTGAAAGCGCGCGCGCGCTCCGTTACCGCGCACCCCTACTGCGCGGGTTCTTCAGGTGCAGAACGTTTGATCACAGTTGACCCGGCGGTTTACCGTAGGACAAACTTGCTACCTGCGTCCTGCGTAACTTTTTCCTTCCCTCCCCACTTCGCTGCTCGCAAAATAAGAAAGAATCTGTATTCTGTGTGGGACGCGGGGGGAAGTTGGCGCTGCTCATGGGATATCGGAGGTGTGGTCCCTCGGGGGAACTCTCCTCCAGACATATATTTATCGTGGGTCAGGGTATCGGAATTGGAGTTGGAAACTGAAATGACTCCGGCCTCACTTCATCCTTTTTTTTCCTGTCGTGGAAGCGCAGAGGAGACTGTATACTCTGCTCTGTATACTCGACAGAGTGACTGCCGCTGCAACTGAAAGGGGGCGTACAGCAAATGGCGCCATTTAAGCGGCGAGGTGCTTATCTTTCTGTCTGGTCAACTCAAAACCAAAAGACCTTCGGATGATGCCCCGAGGACTTCAAATGTACAATCACAAGTTAAAGCAAGAACCGCGAAGAGAATACTCGGCTTTCTAAGGAAAGGGCAGCTTGTTTACGACCCCCTTACCGCTCAGCCGAACAAACTTTGATTTAAAATAAATTATATCGAGCTGACAACGATGTAATGAAACTGCTAAAAATGATATCACAAAGAGTGGTAGCATGATTTTTTAAATTTTTTCTCGGGTTCTGATTGAATGGGTTCAGGCGGACGTCTACGGTCCTCCACTACTGGACCGTCACGTCCTAGAGGCGCTGTGACAAATGTTGCAGGGTATTTTTTAAAAAAGTTTTCTTTTCGGACCGGAAACAAAGAATTGCAATGCAACAGTTTCACATCCAGCCAAAAGATACACAACTACACGAAAGCCACACAACTACAGCCTATGGTCATCCACATGGAACCCATGCAGGAGAGACAAAGTCAGTTGTTGTTAGTAGTAGTAGTAGTAGCAGTTTGTCCGCCGCAAGCAACCAAGCAGCCACACGCAGCAGCGCAAACATGAAAAAAAATATTACAAGACACAGTTGAAAAGAAAGCACACTACTACATTTATGGACTGAAACATTTAAGGACACAAGGCTATGCCCACCCATGCCATGCCCCGCATACACAGAGAGAAGCCTATATTCCACCACGCATATGGGGGCCCAACCTCACGACCACGCACCACACTGCAAACAACACACTGACCTAACACAATAATATAGGAACTTGGAGAAATTTTGTTTCCAGCATGCAATTGTAATTATCAAGAGTAAGTACCGGCTAAATCGCATTAAGCTCGCACCTAGCATGTTCTAGTAACACAATAAAATGTAATATGTATATAAAAAAAGAACACGATTTCAGCAGCAGCATTCCTTATTCAAATCAAGTACCTCGTTATATTTATGGATAAAACATCAAGTTCGGAAACAAAATTTCCACGCGTGCAAAACGAGGGGTGTAAAGATTTTATAATTCGATCATCCCTTTTTCAAAATCATTATTATGGCAGGCTTTTTAAAAAGACTTGAGGGGCTCGTCGGTCGTGAGGTGCTGGGCGACTAGGAGTGCTAGGGTGCGGGTGTGGACTGCACTGCTTACGGGTCGGGGCGGCCCCGCCGGGCGACCTGCACACTGTGACCCCCTGCCGGACGGACTCCGCCTTAGGGCTCCTGCCGCAGCGCCCCGTGCCGCGTCCGGGAGCTCTTTTCGTCACGACGAGGGCGCCCCGGCCACCGCGGCAGCTGATACACACACACACACACAAGTCAACAACCCAGCGACCAAACCGACCCGCTCCAGCTGGATGCAAATATGGATAGATGGATAGAAGGATGGAAATATATATGTATTTTTTTAAATCTCCTTTTCAAGCCCTTTTAGTGTTTAAAATCCTCTGAATTTTGGTTGAAAATGTCAACAAACCCAAGAAAAGTTACAAAGATTCTTGTTGTGTTATAGTGCTGTCTTTTTTCCCACAAAGACTCTGGGGCCACAAACAGCACCGCCTTCATCGCCCAGCAGTAATCGCAAAGGGGCCCCGCGCGAGAAAAGAAGACAAGAGGTTCGCCTGGAAGGGATTCCCTTTCTTGCCATTCGCCTCCTTTTCTAATTCATCGGAGGAGGTGCCAACAGTCCTGGCAGTGGTTTGCAGCGCTGTCACATCCAAGCGCAGTTATCTTATTTTCTCGAGCTGGCTGCGTTATTTATACGTCGCTCAGTAAAGTATTTATCATCAAATTTTTGGGCCAACTATTATTGCGGCCGAGTTGTGGTGACTAGAGAACAGGAAATATGGACGACAAATGAAAAATGTTTCTGTTAGCAACCTTTTCACTAAGGGCGAAGAACTGTTTCTAAATCGTTTTTTTTTCTTCTTTTACATTTGAGCAAGTCCTCAATGGGCTCCATTCGGACAGACCCCTGGTAACTCATCCGCCTAAGCATTGCAACTCAACAAAAGGCCCCCTCTTTTCAAGAAATGGAAAATACAAAAGGAGACCGTTTGGCAGTACGCTGGGCGCCCACTGACACTCAATTCCGCTGGAATGTTTACATTTTTGAAGAGTTATTATGGCGACAGAGTTCACAAGGAATCACAAGCCAGGCCAGTCTACGCCGGTCACCTCCCACTTTCATTGCTACAGCAGGGACAGAATACGACAAGAGATGGAAGAAAACAAACAAGTAGAAGCGGACGTCTTCCAATAACCGGTTCTATAATCTAGACATCGCAGAGAGAGAAAGAATACTATAAGGAGAGAACAATTCAAGAAGAGAACCCACCATGCAGGGAATTAGTGTGGGAAGTGTAGGGTGCTTGGATACGGATAGTTAGGACAGGAAAAGGATCTGCAGTTTTCTTGCGTATTCGCGCAGCATGTTAATCCTGAGGTCAACAAGTAAATAAAAGCCACCTTCTAGCAAGGTAGAGGCACCAAGTGACTGCCATTCCAACGCGCATTTTGGAACGACTAGGCCTTGCTATTGACTGCGCGGATATGGACCAGCGAACAACGCAAGCCGCACCATCATGCCCCACGCGCGTTTCCGGATGCCCAATAATGCGACAAGCGGGCATCGTGTCCTAGCCAGACATACATCCAATCGAACTTGGAGGGGGAAAAAAGAATAAAAAAGAACGACTCCATCACATGTTGTTTTCTGATCTAACCCACACCCCTCTACACCAGCACAGTCATGCGAAAAATGACGCATTAGATGCTGTGTTGCTGTGTTAGAGAAATCCTGAGATAACACAGAATTCAAACTCCAATTCCGAATGTAGTCTTGAAATCAACAAAACCAAAGGTTTCTTTTCGTCTTCCCCCCTGCACTTTACGGTAAAAACTATCTGCGCAAGTCAAAGCACTAGTTAAAAATAACTGCCAGTTAACGACACAATTTAAAACTCTAAAATATCTTATTGTAAATTGTGTAAATGAGTGACACTGGAGTACACTTTTTTAAACCTGCAGATCATTTACAATAATAGCTGCGGTATTTTTCTTTTAAAATAA